CGTGGCTGTGAAAGGTCTGAGTGTAGTAGTGACATAACTTGTAACTATAAAATAGACAATATTTGCATACCAAGGGTCAGATTTCATAACCTTGAAGAGCATGTCGTCCCATAGAAAATCATTGATGGGTAATTCCTGTGGATTTTCAAATTGCATTCTAGACAAATGATCGGCAACAGAATTTTCTACTCCCTTTTTATCTTTTATTTCTAAGTCAAATTCTTGAGTAACAAAATATATCTTATAAGTCGAGGTTTAGCATCTTTCGTAGTGAGTAGGTATTTTAAAGAAGCATGATCAGTGTAAACAATTACCTTAGCTCCTACTAAGTAAGATCTAAACTTGTCAATAGAAAAAACAACAACTAGGAGTTCTTTTTTAGTTGTTGCATAATTAAGTTGAGGTCATGTCAGTGTTTTACTAGCATAAGCAATTGCATGATGCTTCTTTTCTTTTGTTTGACCTAAAACTGCCCCACAGCATAATCACTACCATCACACATGATTTCAAAAGGTGGCGACCAATCTGGGGGTTGATTGATTGGTGCAGAGATGAGTGCTTTCTTAAGAAATTTCAAAAGATTTCGAGCATGCATCATCAAATTCAAAGGGACCATCCTTGGCCAAAATATTTGTAAGTGGTCTAGCAATGTATGAAAAATATTTTATAAAGCGGTGGTAAAACCCTACATGGCCAAGAAAACTATGAATCCCTCTGATATTTACAAGAGGTAGTTGTTCAATTACTTCTATTTTAGCTCTATCTACCTCAATTCCTCATTCGGACACCAAGTGTTCAAGCACTATGCCTTCTCTAACCATAAAATGACATTTTTCCCAATTAAGGACTAAGTGTTTTTCTTCACATTGTTGCAAAACCTTGTCCAAATTTTCAAGACAATCATTGAAAGTTTTTCAACAAACAGAAAAGTCATCCATGAAAATTTCCATAATTTTGTCAATCATATCAGAAAATATAGACATCATACATCTTTGAAAAGAAGCTAGAGAATTACATAATCCAAAAGACATTCTACGATAAGCATAAGTTCCATATGGACATGTAAAGGTGGTTTTGCTTTGGTCATTAGGATGAATCGGTATTTGGTGGTAACCCGAATACCCATCAAGGAAACAAAAGAAAGAGTGATTTACTAGTCGCTCCAACATTTCATCAATGAAGGGCAATGGAAAGTGATCTTTCTTTGTTGCTTTATCAAGTTTTCGATAATCTATACACATCTACCATCATGTGATGGTTCTTTGGTGGATTAATTCATTTTTTCCATTCTTTACAATAGTCATGCCTTCCTTTTTAGGCACAACTTGAACAGGGCTAACCCACTAATTGTACGGAACAGGATAGATGATCCCGGCGTGTAAGAGTTTCAAAACCTCTTTTTTAACATCCTCTCTCATCGCATTATTAAGCCTACGATGTGGCTCCCTAGAAGGTATGGAATATGGGTCTGTAGGGATGCAATGTGTGGAAAGAGCAGGGCTAATTCCCTTAAGATCTTGGAGTGAGTAGCCAAAAGCAGAGCGATGCTTTTCTAAGACAGTTAGCAAGCGGAGGAATTCTTCCTGAGAGAGTTTGTCACTTATGATCATAGGAGAATCCTGATCATTATTGAGAAAAGCATATCTAAGGCCAGAAGGTAGGGTTTAAGCTCAATGGGAGGCTTAGGTGGTTCCGGCAATTCATCTAAAGGTTTAGGCTCTATGGAATTTTTGTCTTCCTCTTCGATGAAGAATTGGGCATCATCTTCAAGATTGGGTTCGATCAAGTCAAAAGATGCCACCTTAACCCCTTCCATTGGGTATTGCCCGGGAATCAGCTCAGTCTCAGCATTTAGAGAATGAGTGATGGGTAAAGAAACTTTAAAGTTTTTCCTAGGCTAATTTTAAATTTTCCTGTTTGTCCTTCTTGGATAATTCTTTCAATTGTTTGTCCTATCAACAGGTCAAACTTCATGATATCAAAGATATAAAAGCTCAAATGAACCATGGTTCCTTTTACCTAGATAGGGAGGACATAAAGTATTCCCAAACTTGGGAGAATGTGTCCTGAAAGACTTTTCAACAACTTTGTTGTTGGTGTTAATGGCATGTGTTTCAATAAATCATGAGCAAAAGATGCAGACATGATATTAACACCCACAATTAGATTATAGAGAGCATCGAAAGGAGCTTTGTTAATTTGGCAGTGAATGGAAATAGAAGGTGAATCTAGACGAATCACATCAGAGGAAAGCTCTGATTCTTCTAACCATTCATTGCTTATAATAGACACTAGCTCTTTCATAGTCTTTTTAAGTAAAGCTTCCTCAGAAGGGTCAAAGATTTATTCATGGGACAATGATTTCCTAGGCTTCTGGGGTTTCCTAATAGTATGATAATTCAAGGTATTTCCATATTTAGCAAAAAGTTCATCCTCAAATTCAAGCATAAAATCTGAAATTGGAGTTTCCTCTTTTTCCGGTGGTTCGGGATTTGGGACAGCTGAGGTTGGTGATGGGTTAAGTGAGGATTCTAGTTTAGATATCTGGGATTCCTCCTCTAGTAGCTTTTCTTCTACTTCTCCAGGGGTGTTTTCTAAAATTTTAGTAAGAATGCTTCTCCCCGAATCGGCAGAGACATGCAGGAACGAGCCTCCTGAGGCTGTGTCAAGGAACTTAGAGGTTTCCCTATTAAGACCTATATAAAAGTGTTGAAGAAGAATGGGGTTTTGAATGGCAAGGTCAGGGCCTGTATTAATAAGAGCATTAAAGCGATCCCATGATATGCCTAGAGATTCTTTTTCTTCTTGTTTAAAAGATAGAACCTCTGAACGAAGGCTGACTACTCTAGAGATGGGAAAGAAGTTCAAGCAAAAACTAGAGCATAAAGCTTCCCAATCTCCTTGTCTACTCCCTATGGTTTGCTTATACCAATGTTTAGCTCTTCCTATCAAAGAGAAAGGAAAAAGCTTTCATCTTAAGGTTTCATCTATCATGCCCGCAATGCGTAAACATGCACAGGTCTGCTCAAACTCATTTAAGAGGGAGTATGGATTTTCATCATCTTCGCACAAAAAGGATTGATCCTAGACCATGTTAATTAAACATGGGTGCAGCTCATAGCCAGGTGTTAGGATAGGCTTTGAAGATTCTGGTGGCTCTAGGCGTGCGCTCGTAGGTGCAGCATATTGATGGATAGGAGTGGATTCTAAATCCATGGTAAAAGGAAAGAATAAAAGAATAAAGAGATGGAAGAATAATGATACAAGGTTAAGCTAGGTTCGAAGTTAACTCAGCAACCATTTCCCCGGCAACGATGCTATAAATGCTTGTTGGTATATATTAACGCACATAGAATAATCCGCAAGCGCACGGATACCGATGTAGCACTTCACCATAAAGTATTCTAGAATATCAAACTCAAGGAAACGTGTGTGAGAATAACTAAGTCTAACTTAACCCAGAGTAGCAACAAGACTTATGATAATAGGAGTATAAAAGATTACACTAAGGTCTTCTAGTTCTAACATCGGTAAGCTACGTCTTCTACTGTTCAATCTGAGGATATTACTGAGGAGAAACACATGTACAGTATTTTTTCCTAGTAATAAAGTCATGCTCGACCTACAGACGGGAGATGGTCTACAAGGACTCAACGAGGCTATAAGAGTCCCCCTTGTGATCTACCACCGATTTGAAATGTATGGTACATCCACAAGTAACGGAGTCTAAGCATCATGCTTACACTACGAATACTACTTTAACCCAAGAGCTACAAGGATTAAAGTACTCAAAAAGAGTCACAAACTAGAAGAACAATATAAACAAGATGCTTACTTGAATCAGAAGTTGATTACCAAAGAAATCTAAGAAACAAGCTCAAGAAGAACTTGATTCCGCTAGGGTACAAGCCGTAGAGAAAACATTGACAGACTAGATCCTATCTTAGAAGATTAATCTTCTCTTGATTGCTAGCTCTGATCCTGGTGGAGATATGAATTAGGGTTTCTAGATTTCAGAACTCAGGACCATTGCCTTCAGGAGGGGGGTGCAAGGAGGTATATATAGGGGGACACATCAATTCTGGACCCTCGAATCAAACCAACTTAAAACAACGGCGTAGATGTGATCTTTTGAGGCGGTGGAGAACCGACATAGTAAGGAGGGACTGATAGGAGGAGCCCATAGGCCAGCCGGCCTGACAGTGGGGCTGGCTAGCCTCACATGTCATGGACATATGGCCTACTTTGGTGGTTTGCCTTCTGAAGTCTTCTAGAGTCTTCCCATATTAGTACCATCGCAGATAAACATGATTTCCTTTGACGAATAAGTCCTCCTTAATGGTTTTCTAATTAAATCCTACTAAAAACATAGATTCATCAAAACTCATGAAATTTGTCAGTTTAAACCCCTAAGTCTATGTTGGTGATCCATTTTAGTCATTTATGCAAGGTATATGAACGGTTTATGATTGTCATTAACTACCGTCAACATTATTTCATTTAGAGTTCAGTTTGATGACCTTGGTATGGAACAAATGATTTGTGTAATGATTATGTAATAACTATTGGACAAGGCTAAGACCAACTGCTCACCAATGTTATTTGTTGTTTTTTCCTTCATGTTCTATGCCTATGCACTGTCTTTTTCTACTTATCTGATGGCTATGCAATGTTTCATGCTAGATGCCCATGAGACACATCCATAAGGAGGCAGTTACATGCTTCTAACATGTTGCTGCCACTTTATGGGTGTGTCCCATGGGCACCTCATCATTTGTACAATCATGGTCATGTAATTTTGTTATTCTTTCATTGGTTAACAAAATAGGATGGCTTTAGCTCCTATTGATGTGGTTGGTGGTTAGGGAGGGTTTGTGATTGCTGCTGACCTCCTAGAGGTTCCTAGGGCTATAGTAGCTGGTGGTGCTACTGGTGCTCTAGCCCTTGCTGTTGTAGCACCAGTTGCCCCTGCTGTTGCAGCTCAAGGTGCTCCTAGACCCATGAGGTGGAACAACAATACATTTGGGTTTGTTCTTAGGAGGATGGCACAGCTGCTTAGTGATGGTAGTAAGCCTGACAAAGTGTTCAAGGACAAAGATGTCAACTTAGTAGCTAAGCATCTAAAGGAGTATAGTGGGGAGGCAGTGAGCCCAACTCAGGTGTACAACCACCTGAGGAAGTGGAGGCAAAAGTAGGCTAGGATCTGTAAGCTCAAAGATCTTAGTGGTGCTTTATGGGACAGTGACAGTAACTCCATGATGCTAGAGGGGGAGCACTACCTAGCCACTTCAAGGTAGAACACTTTAGTTATTTTCCTCACCTATGTCCTACATACCTTACCTATTCTCTATCTTTCTACCATCTGTCTATAACTCAATCACCTACTGCAGGACCACCCTAAGGACTCAGAGTTCCTTAACTGTCCTATATGGTTCTACACTGAGATAGAGGCCATCTTTGGTCATGCCATGGCCACTGGTAGGTTTGCACTGGGATCTAGTGAGGCCCTTGGGGTGAACCAGGCTGATAGTGTAGCCGCTAAGGCTGAGGGCAGTGCCTTCAACCATGTGTGTGAGGAGAAAACCACCACTAAGGTTGGTTGAGGGCAGCAAGGCCATAGAGCTACTCTCATCTCAGTTGGGTGGCAAGAGGAAGAGGGACAACTTCACTGAGGATGAGATGCTCATTCTCACAAACATGTCAAATGTTGTTAACAATGTTGTCAATGCACTTAGGGAGACTAGACCAGCCCATGTTGATGCAAACCTCTACCTTGCTGTTATGGAGATGCTTGGATTTTCTAAGGAGGCTCTCATAGTAGCCTACACCTACCTGCTGGACAACAAGGCCCAAGGTAGGGGCTTTGTTGGCATGAGGGACAGCCACAAGACCCTTTGGCTTAGGACCGACCTAGACAAGAACTAATACATATAGTTGAACTACATGCTGGTCTGCATGGCCAAAGAGGGGGTTCACTGTTGAGATGTATAGTTCCTCCACCTCCCTCCTCCACTCTCTCTTCTTTTGACAAGTTGGATACACTTTACTGTAGGCTTTTGTGTAGGTAGATTGGCTGACTCACACCAATTTTTTGGCTTTGTTTACTGGGAGGGTAGCTAACTATTTATGCCAGATGGGCACTATGGACACCATTTGAGCCCTGACCTGTTGGGCTGAACTTATTATTGTAATGCACAATTTTCAACCTCTGTTGGCTGCTTCATTTGAGACCTATTACAAGTTCCTGTTCTGTCTTCTACTTCTTCTTGCATTGTTGTTTTATCTGATTTATGTCTTGGTGGCAACTGTGGGAACCTTATATGGCCTATGATGCAACAACTAGAATGAGGTGGTTGTCTTTTTTGTCAATTGTTGTTGCTGTTTTCTCATGTCTATCATCAAACCCATCTGAACCATCCATTCTCTAGCAACAATTGGGTGAAATCCAAGCTAATGGCAGAGAATGGATGGTTAGGAGGGTTCCATGCCAGCCATGCCTTTGGTTTTTTACTTGCTTGCCTATTCTGCTTGTTCTTTTCATTTGGATGGCAGCCACCAATGATTTGCTAAGATGAATGAAATGATCAAATTCATAAGTTGAGGTCACTCTTATTCTTATTACTGCCTATGATGTCACATGTTGTTTATAACTTGCTGAAGTTTGTCATTGGTGAGGAATTTGAGAACAATGATTTGGTTAAACCCAAACCGTAGATCTTCAAGTTCCGCACTCATGGCAACCTTCATTGCTTACATTTGACTGAGGCTAAACCACTATTTGATTTCACAGAAATGGGCCCTTGCTATGTTGTTTTCAATGGCAACAAACCTAGGATTTACATGACATGGCATGAGTGCAGTCAACAAGTGCTTGGCTACAAGAATGCCATATACAAGAAGTACTCTAACTATGACCATACTGTTAGAGATTTCAATGCCTCTCTTGTTCCACCAACACCATCATGGTTGTGAGCTGCTGCCTCCCCGTGTTGATGGTAAGTATGGTTCTTGAAAGAATGTGGCCATTGTCGGCCTTTTGGTGCTTCTATGTGGTCTTTGGTTGAGGCTGTCGGTGTGCAGCCAGTGCAAGTGCACTTCTTAGGCTGATAATGACACCAGAGATGGAGGATGAGCTGGTTTAGTGTTTTGCTATTTTCTGTGATGCATTTCTGTTGGTTGGCCTACTTTTGCTTCTGTTCTCATTTGCTTCAATTTGGGTTACCTCTGATTACTATCTGCTATGATTCTATGATTAATTAGTGATGGTGTCTATTGGCGGTCACTAACGATCAAATCCAACCACCAATTACTATCCAAAACAGGAGAAATTAAGCAAACTTATACATATATGCTTTTACTATTAACATATTTTCACATGTATTGGATACCTAGTGTTTGCAGGACATATACACCAAATACATGGGAAAATGATCAAAAGGCGCAAAGCAGAAAGCGTAATGTAGAAATATGCAAAGGAAATACATGCAAAGGCCCATCTAATCAACAAATCTGGGCCGAGCACCGACGTCGGGATGATCTAGAGCTAGCCAACAGCCCATAGCATGAAGTCAGTGGCGAGGGGGGCTAGCCCTAGTGCGGCGGCACCAGGGGTGTGTCCGCACCCCCACCACCGCCTTTTGGGCCCATCTTCTGCAGGTGGTTGCATGGTGGCATGCAACGTCGGTCTACGTCAGTTTCCAAAAAATACCTACTATAAACCAACCAAGGATTAGTATAAATAAGAGAGTAGAGCTCACCTTCAACACACACCAACATTTGGAGCCTCTACCTCACTACCACACTCTTGTACTCATTTAGCTTTTAGTAGTAGTTTGGAGCTAACAAGAGCTATCAAGGAGGGATTGGTTCCTTGGGAGAAAAGAAAGCTTGGTATGAATACTATGAAGATTTCCTCCAAAGTCATGCTCTCATATCATAAATATAGTTGTGCTATAGAACTAGACTATAGTTCTCATGTCATAATCATGACATATGAACTAGCCTATAGTTTCTATGCTATGAGAGTAACATGTAGAACTTTATACTTAACCAATCATATAACTTATATGAGTAGAATTAGAGCAAACTTGAGGTAGCGGTTCATCGTGCCTTTGGTGTGCCCAAGTCCTTTACCTGTCGATCCGTAGGGTCGGGGATCCGGGGAGATTTGGGTAGTTTCTGTGTACGCAAATGTGGTGCTTGGGTATGGAGAGACAGGTGAATACATTTTCTACTCTCCTGTTGAGGGGTAGGCCCGGTGGTGACAGGCCTGTATGTCCCTTGTAATCTCCCACGTTCGGGTAGGATGTAGGAGTCTAAATCGTCACATGAGGTTGCTGGTAGACCAGTACTCAGTGGCCTCTCGATCTATCTTACACTTAGTTCTAGCTTTAATCATGTATCTTGTATGATCATCAACTGTTCTTTGCACGACTATATTAGAACATGTCGGCTCCACTTAAGAACATTTTTTTATTCTTTATTTTTCTTTTATCCTTGAGGTTGGTCCAAGTGTGTGTCCACTATCTTGAAATACCATTTTTTACCCCTGTTATAGACTATTAGTTTACTAATGTAGGTATGTAATCTTGTTCATGCTCATGCTAGACTCTTATACCTTGCCCTTCTTTGGAAAAATATAAATAACGGTACTCTGAATACTTTTGGGTTAAATGCTACAATGATAGATCTGTGCGCTTGCGAATATTTTCTGTAATCGTTAAGAACTATCGTAGTTGGTGTTTCTTGGTGGCGTCGCTAAGGTTAACTCAATCTTAGTGATGGTGCTAAAAATACCAACAGACATTTCTGGCGCCGTTACCGGAGATGGACTTGAAACCTCCATACTTGGCGATTGCACTAAGAAATGCCAACAGTATTTGAGGCATGTAAGTTGAAACTGCAAAATTGGTATGGTGACAGCTCTATTTTTATTGTAATGGAACTCCTTCAAACTCTATTGCACATCTCTGTGTTCCTTCATTGCAATCTCTGCTGTATTCCTCTGTGTTCTTCTCTGGTGCCGGTTTAGGGCCTGGCTGCGTGCCAAACAAGATCTCAAAGTGGCAATTGGAGTTAGTTGGTCTTTGACCGAACTGCTCTATGTGCTATCAAACACAATCTCATATGGGGATCTGGTCCATTTGGAAAAGGCAGCCAAATAAAACCGCTTGCACCGGTTTGGACCGGTTGTGGCTGGCATTGGCATGGTCACAGGGCCGGGCTGGCTCGAGACCGCGTAACAAACACGCCCGAACTGTACTAGTTCGATTTTGTTAGGCGGCACGGCAACGATGTCGAATTCTCAGTCCAGCCATTTCAGTATCATTGAATGGGATAGAAGAAATCAACAGTATCATTGAATGGGATAGAAGAAATCAACTGACGTATCCTGGCGAGTTGGGAAAAAATGACAGATTTTATTTTATTTTATTTTATTTTATTTGCTTATCACAGCTCCCTACATGACTATCTGACGCTTGGCGTACCACATGAAAAGCTTTGGATTCAACATGTAGAAAAAGACATTTTCAACGCCAGAAACGTTTTCTCTGCGGGGGGAAAAGGTCGCGTAGAGACTCACGGGCTTTTCTTTTCTTTTTTCTCAAAAAGTTCGTATACAAAACCAGTGGTCGCCAATAGATCTGATAGCCGGATTATTCTGGTTTTCTTTCTCCGAGGTTCCTCCGGTGAATTCGAGGTGCAGACTGCAGACAATAACGTGAGAAGAAATATCTGTTTCACTAAGTTTCAGTTGTTAAATGAGGTCATACAAGTTTATTTGTTTATAATCTAGTATAATTTGAATTCAACCCATATTTTTGAAAGGCCTTTATTCTTTTACGAGCAAATGTCTTTGTGTTGTAATTGAATGTACATGCTGTTGTGTGGTTACTTAGACGACTTACGGCTGAGAAATTTACTTTCCTCTGTTTCTAAATATCTGTTATTGTTGGTGTACGTGCCATAAGTTTGACTTAATTTTTAGAAAATAAATGCAACATTTATATCTTCAAATAAATTTATTAAAAAACTAGATTCAAAGATCTTTCGAATGATACTAATTATATACTATAAATATTAATATTTTTTAATATATATTTAGTCAAAGTTATTTATGGGAAACAAAACGACAGATATTTAGGGACAGAAGGAGTATGCTACAATCACACTATCTGTTTTGATATATCTTAGAATGGAGCTCCTTACTACTCTAAATCGTATGGCTTAGAGATTTATCAATTATCGCATCATGCCTTCCAATTTATTTTGTGATCAAACTCCATACCGTGCATGAACACCAACGTCTGAGAGAGCTGCGGATTATGAAAACACTTCGTATTTCCCATTTTGAGCGGCGGATTATGTAAACACTTCGTATTTCCCATTTGTTTTACAACCGAACTACTTCCCACGTTACATTAACTCGTATGGGCAAAAAAAATGATGTGTTGGATCCACATCGGACGGTTGTGAGCTATAAAGGATGAAGGAAGAAACCTTTGGTTCTTTAATATCAGGGATAAATAGATATGCAGATAGATAGATAGATACCCGTTTGTCACTATTTAACTGTGCTATGGAAAACATGCTGATCAAACTTTTTTAAATTTAATTAGGTTTGTAGATAGTATTAGCAATATTTATATCTTCAAATAAGTTTATTATAAAATATATTCAATGATGTATCTAATCATACCAATTGTATCTTATAAATATTAGTACTTTCTTGTATATATTTTATCAAAGTTGAGTATATTTGACTTTTCGGGAGTGAGAACGACAATTAAAATGGGTGGGAGGGAGTAGATAGATAGATTTTTTAGATTAGATAGATAAATAGATCGATAGATAGATAAATATTACTTCCTCCATGATCTTTTGCACGGCGCGCACAAATATCAATAGTCAAACTTTAAAAATCT